TTGTGACACGAGGGGCACAAAAAAAAAAAAAAAAAAAATGGGACCAGATTGAGAAGAAAAGATATTAACTGCAAAAATACTTTAAGAATTTAGGTGAAGAATTAGGTGTTAAACCAGAAATTAAACCATCAGGAACACTTTAGTCTCAAGAGCCACCATTTCCTAAACCGCAAACTTCCTGGAGTCTATAGAAGTACAAAATGTCAGATTATCAGAGACTTTGCTAGGGCAAGGAATCCTGAAATTGGCTGAAGTGTTGTGAAATACATAGGAAACCCCCCTTTACAGACAGATAACCCTAATGACAAATTCCCCATGTGACAACTAGCCCCGGTCTCCCCTACAACAGAACTTAAATCTCTTTTAACTTAACAACAGAACTTAAAGCTCTTTTAAACACTTGCATTTCACTGTGTAATTGTGTATTTTCTTTTTGTCATGTCAAGCACATCTAAAACTGATGAATAAGACAATGGAGATGAGAATCTCATTCGCATCTAGACCCAACGTTACTGTTTCGGACACTGCGGAACAGATACTTTGTTATTCAACAACAAATTTGTGTTATATTGAGTGCTCCTATCATGATTTCTTTGCAAACAAAAACTTTACACAACCAGAAACATTGAACCTGGCAATATATTATCAGGATAACACGAGAGTTGACTTCAGTATAAGTAAGTAAGGATTATTTTCTTCCATTAAATTTAACCAGTTACACAACAGCTTTATAAGAAATGTGCATTGAGTATGATAACTTCTCAGAACATTAACTTTTCCTTTCATATATTAATTGTAGATCAAACACCAAGCAAATGTATTGTGGTAGATTGCTTGCCTGATGACATAAGTAAGCTCCTGAAAATGAAAGAGACACAAATGAATATGCCACAAGACATGAGAAACATTCTCAATATTAAAGGAATGTGCAAAGATGTGATCTTCAGTGAAACTGTTGTGGATAACTACATTCGGTAAATATAACCTTGTTAAAAATTTTAAAATGCACAATTCTTTCAGTGGACATTCAGTGGTTCCAAACTCTGTTTCTGGAAGCACCTAACAATACGTCAGGTGTGTTTGATTAGGGAATGTGCCATTTTGTGGCGGTCTCCAAGAGCAGAGTTGGAAACACTGCTTAGACTTTTTTGGCTTTTTTGTTTCATGTTTATCTCCCCTTTGTGCAGAGTGGAAAGGAAAGCCATCCACAACATTATAAATATGAATATTTCGGAGCAATCCAAGAACTACTATCATGAGGATCTTTCCATGATTGTGGTTAAGATGAATTTAAACACGACAGATGATTTTGTACCAATCGCCACTCCAAGCGTAAGACTCTTGCCCCATACTATATATGCCAAAAGTCCAAGCTGACATAATTCTGTAAGCTACTAAACTGCTGTAAGTGATTTCTACAACGCCAGCAGTGCCCTTGGAAATATGTTTCCTTTTCATTTTTGTCCATAGGGACTTTAAAAAAAAATTCAAGCATTAAGCAAACTAAGCAGCTCTGAAGTGAATCATATCATTACAAACTTTGGTTTGAAGAAAAAAAAAACATCTCACAAAAATACAATTGTACTTAGCAAGTTGGTCTTGCATGACCAAAATAGCTGCTCAAAGGCATTGCCAATATAGTTGCTGTAATGCCCGGAAGCAGTAGTGACAACAGGAGGAAATGCAGATCTAGTTGTAGTTTGATTCATTAAACAAAACAAGCAAATGCCAGGAGACAGACTAGGCAGGATCACAGGTGTCTACACACATTTAATAACTGACAAAGAACAAGTGAAACACAGAGGCTTTACACAGGACTAACAAGCTGACACGGTAATAAGATAACAAGACACACCCGGGGAGACTAATCAAGGGAAACTGACTACAAAGACAGCACAGGAAACACTTCAACATCTAAGTCCAGAGAAAACACAGGGAACATGTAAAAGCTGTGGACTAAAATGACTTTCCTCAGCTTGTGAATGTGTAGTTAACAAGATTTCTGTTAAAAATGGAAAGTGTGGCCTGTGATAAGATTTTCTAACACCAGTCCAGAGTGCATTAAGCACAATTTATGCATACTGCATCTGTCATATTTGAACATAACACATCCTAATAATAAAAATGACTAAGAACAACATTAGGCCTGTTCTATCTCATTACATTCACAGTGTGCCTTTCAAGGAAAGTCAGTTCACTCGGTGGCCACATTGGCAATGCCTTCGAGCAGCTATTTTGGTCATGCAAGACCAACTCTTGTCTATTTAAAAGGCGAAATACCAAAATAAAAAAAAACAACAAAAAAAAAAAACACTTTTTGCCAAACTCACATTTCAAAAACATTTTTAAATTATCAGTAAAATATGACATGAACTGTATCATAAATGTTGTTTCTTTCAATCAGATAGCATTTTAAAAAGCGCCCACCGTTACATTTACATTGTTGCTGTCAGTACTAATAGCCGTTTCAAAGAAGGTCAACTGGGTCTCCATTAGGACCCCAGTATGCTAGTACGTTGTCAGGATTATGGACTTGATTTGCCCCTGCTTCTGTTTCAGTGTTCCCTTATTTGGACATGTTCCTGTTCTTGTTGTCTCATTATTAGTTGATTCCCCGCACCTGTCTGTCCCTCGTTAAGTTTAGTATAAATGTGTAGTCTGCCTCATGTTTCCTTGTTGGGTCTTGAACGACTTCCTTGTGCTCTGTGTCTCCCTGTTGGATTATTAAAGACTCTCATTTTGTGAAATCTCCACGTCTCCTCGTTCCTCCCGTAAGCAAAGTGTGACAGAAGACCCGACCGAAACAATTACCTCCGTGTGTCTACCCTCCGTTTTTGTTTCCGTTTTTTTTTCCTTCAGTGTTTTGTTTCCGTTGTGTTTTCCATGGATCCCCTCTCCCGTCCGGAGTACCTCCTCCTCCTGCTGGAGCAGGGGGAGAGATCACTCGAGGGCCATACTAGACTGTTCCTGGTCCTCGCTGCTCTAACCAGCTACCCGGACGACGCAATCTGTGCGTTCTACGACGCCAGTTTAAACATCTCGTGCAGAGCGCTGTCGTCTGAAGATGGTCCTCGAGCGAATTTCGCCACCTTTGTGGAGTAGACACTGGCGAGACACGGATCCCCGTTCACCATCTGTCCCAAGGGGGATCTCGCCAGTGCCACTCCGGACCCAATGCCCAGCCCACCATCTCCCCACTGCGCGGAGCGCATGCCCGAGCACACCGCTGATGGAGAGTCGGAGCCCGCCGCGACCGACGAGCCATACCCGCATGGAGCGGAAGAGCTGAGGATCGCCGCGGAGCCAGAGCTGCTGATGACGTCAGTCAAGGTGTGTGAGCCGGCAACAACGCCCGCCACAAGGGAGAAAGCCGCCGACGGTGTGAGCGTGGAGAGGAGCTCCGCCCCCTGCACCGTGGCTGAGGGTGAGCTGTGTATGGCGCAGCGAATGTGCCACACCAAAGAGGAGAGGGCTCCCATTCCTAAGTTCTGGCCTGAAAGACCGGAGGCTCACAAATGCCCGCCCTCCCATCCGCTCCTGCCTCCTCCTCCGCTGTCGTCTGGCAGCCCCTCTGCTCGCCCTCAGGCCACCATCTATGCGGTGCGAGTTCCGCGAGACTGCCATCCTCCAGCGTCGCAGTGGTTGGAGTATCCCTTAACTCCGCCTCCAGCCTCTGGGCTCTGGGCTCCGGACTCCGCCTCGGCCTGTGGACCCGTCGGCTCCTCAATGGCTCCTAGCTCCCTCCTCTCTGCCGTGGCCCGGCAGTCCACTAGCTCCGCTGGGCTCCCTCGTTCCTCCGGTTCCGCCTTGGTCTGTTGTCGACCATCCTGCGCCTCGGGACTCCACTCCTCCGGCTTCGCCTCGTCCCTCCAGCTCCGTCAGGCCCTCCGGATCCTCCCCGTTGCCCTGGCTCATCAGCTCTCCGCCTCCGCCTCGGGTTCCTCCACCACCTGCTCCACCGCCGTTGGTCAGCCCCCTGGAGTCGGCGGTCATTCCTCCTCCATGGCTCCTCCCTCCGTCGGCTCCACCATGGGCCGCCGTTATGGCTTTGGCCTGGGTCCTGCTGTGCTCCTCCTGCTCCGGGCCCCTCCTGTCTCCTCTCTGGCTCCTCCCTCCTTTGTTGCCTCCCTGGTCTCTGTCTGCCGGCCCCCTCGCGGGTGCCCGTCCTCCTCCCGAGCCTCCTCTTTAGTTCCCACCCGTTCCATAGCGATATGTCAGGATTATGGACTTGTTTTGCCCCTGCTTCTGTTTCAATGTTCCCTTATCTGGCCATGTTCCTGTTCTCGTTGTGTCATTATTAGTTGATTCCCCGCACCTGTCTGTCCCTCGTTAAGTTTAGTATAAATGTGTAGTCTGCCTCATGTTTCCTTGTTGGGTCTTGAACGTCTTCCTTGTGCTCTGTGTCTCCCTGTTGGATTATTAACGACTCTCGTTTTGTGAAATCTCCTCGTCTCCTCGTTCCTCCCGTAAGCAAAGCGTGACATACGTATTTTAAAAATGTTTTTCTTCAATATGCTAGTATGTATATTTAGCAAAATAGTCTGTTCATAAGCACCACCAAGTCAAAGTTTCGTGTAATAAAAGCAGCTCTGGGCATGTGACAAAATGGAAAACCTCTCCATAAAAAATGTTTGTTTTGAATGTTTGTGTTGGTCTGACTCTTAACAGATGCATGATTCATTCAAATTAGAATGTTTAGCACAGCAAAATTTTGCCCCGAACATTCATCTTGATGTGAACAGGGCCACTGGGTGCTAGGTTTAGGGGGTGAGAAGTGGGCCTTCATGATTTTAACAAGTCGGGTGAAGTGGTTGGAAAACTAAATTTCTAACTGATATGCACTGCTTCAAGTGAGATGACAATTGTTCTGCACAGCATAGCATATCAGCAATTCAAACACACCTGTACTGATTAATGCCATATAGGGAGCTGATTGAGACACATCGTGACTATCGTTTCTATGGGAATCTGAGCTTCTAACAGCAACTGAAGTGACTTTGTCAACTGTCGTTTGGCTCTTTTATTTAGAAGGCATGACTTCGTTTACAAGACATGCCATATTGTGCATTTGATTATGAACATTCGAACATCGCTTGATTTCACACTGTTCAAGTCTGGCACCGCAAAGTGGGGTTAACCCCAGGTAAAATATGGTGCTAACCCCACTACTAAATTACAAGTGTGAAACATTCCCTTACCAGGGGTTAAAAGCAGGGTTTAGAATGATGATCACCTGTGGTGCCTATAGTAATACAAGTACACTGTCTTGCTATATAAGTCTTTGGAAGTATTCTTGCATACTGGCAGCTCTCGTAAATTGCTGGTCTCTTTACAATTTGCCTGTCTATTTGAAGATAAAGTCCTCTTTATACACCTTTGCCAGAAAATGCATGATTACTTCAACATTTTTTAACTTCGGCATAATTATGTAGCCCCTTGTTTGTAAAGGTGCAAACAGTTGAAGGCCAGATTTTGGGTCATTTCCATAATATGAAAGAATGATCAAATTTTGTGAAGTAATATAGAACTACATCATTCATAATAAGCAGTTATTGGCTATCACAGACCAATGCCTCCTATGCTCTCTGTCAGACAGGAATGACATTTGATGTAATGCATAGTTTTATTACGGCTGTATATTTAATTTATTTCCTGAATGCATATGTTTTTACTGAAAGTGTGAAATGGCATTTCGTAACTCTTGAACCTGTTTTTCCATCCCAATTTTAAAGGGATTAAAGGGCCTGACTGAATCACGCCACTGTATTTTATGGGTGATACTCCTAAAAAGAAATGGCTTACAGCAGGTTTTTGATAACATCTGGTTGCAGCTTAATTTCTAAACAATGTAGATCATATATAACAATGTATAGAACAATGTAGCATATACAAGCATGTAAAAGTTGCTGACTTTTTTTTTTTTTTCTTTTAAGGTATTATATGTTGATAAAGTAGCTGATATACAGATCCCGGTTGAGCCTTTCAAAAATGGGAACCAGACCAAAATTGGCATAGTTACGTACGATTCTGATCAGCACTTTAAGGTTCAAATCACACCCACTTTTAATGTTTCTATTGTTCTGTCCAGTGTCATAGTGATTAGAAAATTGTGATTATTGTCACACAGTTTCTTAATTTTACAGTAAGCAAATCAGCCTATGGTCTTTTTTTTACAGCTTAAAGTGAGAAATAAAAATTTTACCTCCAAAGTCATACGGATTGAAGTCCCTGGATGTGACATTAAAAATTTGAACAATCCACTTAAAATGAAATTCGAACTTAATTACACAGAGACCACATCTGTAAGTGTAACTTGGGATACAATTTTAAATATTTGCAAATTGCCTAAAAATGTCCTGCTAATTATGTATTTCTGTTTGTATTTATATCTAAAGGACTACTACCTTTCCTGTCAGTTCTATGATGAAAACGGTACAGTAATGTTTAATGGTTTCAATGAACGATGATCTTATATGAGGCACATATGTCCTTTAATGCTGTACTGAATTTTGTTTACTGTTACAGACGGAAGCTGGAATACAGACGGCTGTCTCACCAACAATACCAGTGATGTTGTGGAGTGCTCCTGTGACCATATGACCCCTTTTGCTGTGCTTCTAGTGAGTACTGAGCCATTCATTCAGGCCATTACTAAACGTGTAAGGTAGCAGAAACCATGCTGTGCTGATTCTGTTTTAATTGAATTCTCTCCTTCACTACCACATTTCCTTTATCTCTCCCAAACTCTAGGCTGAGGTGATAAACATTGATGGAAAGCATTGGGAAATCTTGTCGTACATCAGCTATGTAGGCTGTGGTCTGTCTGCGTTCTTTTCTGCCTCTACTGTCTTGTCGTTCATTTTCAGCAGGTGCTGTTCCTTCTGTTATTCATATAAACGTGTATATAATCTGTGCTTTGATTCACATTATTGTTAATATAAAAATTGAGTTTTCAATAAAGATTATATGTGTTTTTGCAGTAATGCAAGGGCAGAAGTGTCCAACAGCATCCACGTGTCTCTGAGCGGCGCTCTGTTTCTCCTCAACCTGAGCTTCATGCTCATTGAGTGGGCTGCCACACTGACAGTGAAAGAAGTGTGTGTGTTTATTGCTGTGACTTTACACTACAGCCTGCTGTGTTCTTTCACCTGGATGGCTATTGAAGCCTTGCACCTCTACCTTCTTCTCATCAGAGTCTTCAACATTTACATCAGACACTACATGGTCAAGTTGTCCCTGATTGGATGGGGTGAGCATCAAGACAAACTGCATAACAACATAAAAAACCATAGCAGCCAAAATAGACATGCAGGATGCATTAAAGGGATGCTTCACGTAACGATGAAAATTTGAATCTCAAAATGACATTTAAAGGAATAGTTCACCCTAAAGTAAAAAAGTGCTGAAAATGTACTCACCCTCAGGCCATCCAAGATGTAGATGAGTTTTGTTCTTCATCGGAACAGATTTGGAGAAATTTAGAATTACATCACTTGATCCTCTGCAGTGAATGGGTGCCATCAGTATGAGAGTCCAAACAGCTGATAAAACATCTCAATAATACACAAGTAATCCACACCACTCCAGTCCATTAACTAACACAGTGTGAAACAAAAAGCTGCGTGTTTGTAATAAACAAATTCCATTATTAAGGTGTTTAATGCATCGCTTCAAGCCAAAATACCAGCCTATAATCCATAATAATGCTCCTCCAGTGAAAAAATCTATCCGCTGTTGTCGTCTCCCATCAAAACAGAACTGTTTTGGTCTGTTTTCGCTTGTAAACAATGCTTGATCTGTGCACATTTCTCTCCTGATTGATACGAGACCACATTTTTTTCTGGAGAAAGAAATATTATGGATAGAGAGACTTAAAATGTGCAGCTTTTTGCACAAGACGTTAACTGATGGGCTGGATCTGTGTTGATTACTTGTGTTACTTTTTGCTGTGATTCCCGAAACTTATTAACAACTCAAAAATAAACATTTTGTCATAATATATTCACATTCATGTTTTTCCAAACCTTTCTTTACTTTGCAGAGCACAAGAGAATATATTTTGAAAAATATCTCACTTTTAAGTCCATATAATGAAAGCCATCCATCCATTAATTCTGTAAACCGCTGGTCAAGTGAGGTCAAGGCAAATTCATTTGTATAGTGTTTTTCACAATTCACATTGTTTCATCATATGTATGTACATGCTTTATTTTACAAATATGATCAATAAGGGTCCAGTGTTGCCCATTAAATAAACAAAAACTGTTGAAACATTCTTCAAAATATCTTTACATGTCATACAGGTTTGAAACAACATGAAAGTAAAAAAAAAAAAGATAAAAGGATAATGTTTAAAAAAAAAAAACTTTGATCTTGTCCTCTTGACAGGAGTCCCTGCTGTTATTGTTGGAGGCTTGCTGTCAGCTAATAACATTTATGGGATCAAGGAGATGGCATTATCTGATACGAATACAACAAATCAAATGTAAGTCTTCACATTGTAACTTTGCATTAGACACAGACAAATGTTGTTAAATTATGTAGCACTCTTTGCCGGTCAATCACAGTCAAATGTACGTATGAAGTACAGGTTGCTCACATTGTAAAACCTTCTTTTGTCCAATACAGTTGCTGGATCAGAGACCCTCATGTCCTGTATGGCGTGAACATTTTCTACTTCTCCATCGTATTCCTGTTTAACTTAGGAATCCTAGTCACGGTGTCCAGACAGATCTTTAAGCTACGACATGTGGGCAACAGGCATGGCAAGATGCCAGTTTGGAAGGATGCTGGCACAGTGCTGGGCCTCATGTGTCTCCAGGGTACAACATGGGGTTTGATCTTCTTCAGCTCTGGATATATCAACTACCCAATACTCTACCTGTTCTGCATCTTAAACTCAATGCAAGGTAGGTTTACTCAGGGTACAAGAGAGAATAGGTGGGTTGATGACATACTAGAGAGTTTATGATCAAATGTACAGAAATGTACAGTACTCTTAATGTTCATGTTGGTTTCAAATGGTTTTTCAATCCAAGTTTAAATGTAAATTTGACTCTAACCATTGGGTACAATGTATAAACTATTTGCCTTACATCTTAAATAGATGTGAATGTACAGGTTAACAACATTTTTCAATGTAAAATGCATTTTTAGAAATTTCATTAATTATAAATTCATGACTATGATAAGTCTTCGGAGAGTCCTAATTTCCAGGTTTATTTGTATTTTTCCTGCACGTTGGTTGTACCACATGATCTTGTGTGTCAAACCACATGATTTGGATTTGACTTTTCAAATATTAATAAGAAGTCTCGCTAAAATATTACACCAAACAACTTAATATTTTCATCATTCTTATTGTATCACCCTGACATTTTTGACTTTATGCTCCCCCACCCCCACCCCCAAAAAAAACAAAAGTAATTTTAATACTCATCATAAAAGAGGTGTGTTCAAGTCATGAACGTCATGTCATTGATAAAGTGATGTGATCTTCCTTGGTTTGTTCTGGTCAGGTGAACAAGACCAGGGGAAAAAACGAGGCAGAGATATTAGTCACATCACAAAGATACGTCATTATGCGAAACTCTAGCATATTGTTCTGCTACCAAAGGACAGTTAGGGTCAACACAAGTCTACCCTTACGAAAAATAAGTTTATTCAAGTGTGCTATTAGTATACTTCTTTTAAACTAAAAATAGGAAAGTATACGTTTAGTCTACTTTTTATGTACTTCTCAGAAATGGGCTTTATGTACTTCTCAGAAATATACTTAAAATTACATTTTAGTATACTTGACTGACTTATACTTATACTAAATATATTTTAGCTATAATTGTGCTCCTAGAATCCGTGTTTTCATTGTTATACTGTAGGGGGTGCTAGTACACATCTTCTGTACAGAATTTCCAAAAAACACAAGTGAAGAAGAAACCGAAACAACAGATGCTTCCACATGTATTCTAACACGATCATCAGACATAAAACAGTATCAAAACTATGTAACATTATGGAATAAAATATCGACCAATGAAGAGGTAATAATGACTGTCAAGCTTTGGGGTGTTGATCGACTTTATCTACGTTTTGATTATCATTCTGAATCCAATTCATAGACTTTTTTCAGCTTTTTGTTCAAAATGTTGTTTATTTCTTTATTTTTTATTTATGAAACTTATCCACATTCAAGTGTTTAAAAAAAGAATGCATGAAGCTAGAATAAAATGTTTTTGTTTACAAGCAGATACCCTGTTCTTTTGATGTTTTGTATGTTCAGATATTCATTAACAAAATATATACAAATTAATACCTAAATAGGGACATAGAAGTATACTTAAAGTATGATGTAAAGTTAACTTAAAGAAAACTTACGAGTATACTTGCAGTATAAAACTACTAAACTAG